GGATACTGTAAATCAGGAACAAAAACAAGGTTGCTGGAAAAGCTCAGCAGGTCTGGCAGCATTTGTGAAGGAAAAAACATAGTTAACGTTTCGGGACCTGTGACAGCTCTGAGGAAGGGTCATCAGACCCAAAACATTAACCCTGTTTTTTCCTTCACAGACGCTGCCAGACCTGCTGAGCTTTTCCAGCAAATTTGATTTTGTTGTTGTTGTTGTTGTTGAGCATATGAGTTGCAGGGTATTCCAATGGAAGTGGACATCCTCACCAGTCTGACTGAGCTTGGGGAACATCACTTGAGTAAAATCAATTGCATAGCCTCACTCAAGGCAGCACAGTAGCTCATTGGCGAGAGGCAGCAGGGACCCAGGTTTGATTCCACCCTCAGGCGACTGTGTGTGTGAGGTTTGCACATTCTCCCCATGTCTGCGTAGGTTTCCTCCGGGTGCTCCGGTTTCCTCCCACAGTCCAAAGATGTGCAGGTTAGGTGGATTGGCCATGCTAAATTGCCCACAGTGTTCAGGGATGCCTAGATTAGGGAGATGGTTCTGGGTGGAATGCTCTGAGGGTTGGTGTGGACTTGTTGGGCTTAAGGGCCTGTTTCCACACTGAAGGGATTCTATGATGATATCCTGGACAGAGGGACTCTAGGTCAGCCCACAGCAAAACTACAAAACAAAGCCAAGCCTTGGTCAAATGGTTAAAATTTTCTTCAGGATCCAAGCAGCAAACCATTGTAGTTTGCTGCTGATATGTGAACTCAAAACAGCAAAAGAATCCCATTTGACCTAAACTGAGTAAGAGGACTCATAAGCAGATATCCAGGAGAGTATACACCCTGGAAATTCATCTACATCTGGTTTGGAACAGTTAAATTGCTTAGCAACGTCCAAATCAGAACGAATCAAAATAAATGTCTGGTTAAATGGGAATTGATACCAGCGCATTTCTTTAACAAAATTCACTCTGGACTCCAACCTTTAGGTTTGCTCAATACATCGGCTACACTAAGAACCTATACTGGAGCCCCTTTACAGATAAAGGGTACAACTTCGGTTTCGGTCTCTTATGAGAAACAGCTGCTTCAGTTACCACTGATTGTAGGAAAAGGCATGGGCCGAAGCTTGATGGGGCAAAATTGGTTGAGAAAGATTCACCTAAATTGGCTCAACATTTTTCAATTAGAAAATGGCTTCCTGAGTGAATTCCTAATTAAATATCTGGAAAATTTTCAGGAAGGTCGAGGGACAAGGGAAGGAGCCAGGACCACCTTGCATGTTGACCAGAGCAATTCCACAATTCTGCAAGGCCTGGCCAGTGCCATTTGTCTTAAGGGCAAAAGCAGATGCAGAAATCAGAAGGCTGCAAAGCGAAGGAATCATCAATACAGTCCAGTTTGCGGAATAGGCAGCACTGCCCGACCAGACAGTTCGCTTTTGTGGCGATTTTGAACAAAGGTAGACTGTTTGTCGCAGCTGGATAAATACCCAATCCCTCATATAACGGATTCATATGCAAAGCTGTGGGGGGTGGTGGTGCCATCTTTCACAAAGCTGGACATGAGCCATGTGTACTTGCAATTGTGGTTAGATGATGATTCCCAGAAGTATGCTACAATTAATACCCTGGCGGTTTGTAACAATATATGAGACAGCTATTTGGGGTATTGTCAGCCTGTGCAATTTTTCAGTGGATGATGGAGAACATTTTACAAGGTCTACACCAGGTTACCATTTTTTTGGATGACATGCTACTAACAGGGAAGACCAATAAGGAGTACTTATTGAGAAATTGGACATAGTCCTTAGACATTTCTCCCAGGTGGGTGTACACCTTAGCAGGCAAAATGTGTGTTTCAGGCACCCCAAGTAACCTACTTGGACTACGTAGTCGATAAGTCCGCGTTACACCGTTTGGGAGATAAAGTGAGGGCAATCAAAGGTGCTCCGATTGCCACATCTGTACCGGAGCTTAGGTCTTTCCATGCACTGGTGAACTATTATGGAAAGTTCATCCTTGCATCAACTCTTAAAGGATCAGCCTTGGAAATGGTCACATAGCCAAGCCATAGCTTTTAAGGATGTGAAGAAACAGCTACCATCCTCTAAGGTGTTGGCACACTATGTTCCCAAGTGAGATCTGGTATTGACATGTGATGCCTCCCTATATGGCATCAGGATAGTATTAGCCCATAGGTGGCCCAATGGACATGAACACCCAATAGCATATATGTCCAGGACTTTGGTTAATGCAGAGCGTAAATATGCCCAAATAGAGAAGGAAGGGTTGGCGTCGGGAAGTTCCACCAATGCCTTTATAGATATAAATCTGTAAATGTAACGGAGCACAAACCCCTACTAGGTCTACTTAAAGAGGACACCCCAGTGCCACCCTCAGCTTCAGCCGGATCAGCTGTGGGCTGTAATACTAAGTGTGTATAATTACAAGTTGGAAAACCGTCCAGGTGGCCAAGTAGCAAATGCGGATGCATTGATCTATTTCCTGCAAGAAGTTAGACCACCAGTGGTACCGCCACTGAAAGAGTCCATAATGTTTTTAAATTTTCCTGGACACATTTCCCGTCACAGCTGACAATATCATACTTTAGAAACAGAAATATCCAGTCCTACCAAAACTGAAACAGCTCGTGGTTATGGGGTAAGCCAAAGCGTTGTCACAACCAAAACTGAAATCAAAATTGAAGACAGCATATTATTATGGGGAGCAAGAATGTTGTCCTGAGCAAAGGTTGCCACCAGAAACTGGCTGAACTCTATCAGGGTCAGCCAGTGGTTTCCAAAATGAAGACGTTGCCAAGAAGTTTTGTCCGGTGGCCAGATGGAATGCAGACACAGCCGCATTGGTGGGGCAGTGCGCAGAGTGCTAACAAGGACAAAAATTACACAAGTAGCTCTCACACAATCATGGGAATGGCTGGGTAAACCCTGGACTCGGTTACACATCGACTATGCCTAGTTCATGGGCTCAATGTTCTTAGTCATTGTGGACTCACACTCAACGTGTCTGGATGCACATAGAGTTAATTCATCAAACACAGGGATGCCAATAGAAAAACTATGTGCGTTTTTGCAATGCACGGACTCCCAGAAATGTTAGTCATAGATAATGGGCCATCATTTACCAGCAGGGAATTTGAGTATTTCCCAAAGTCGGATGGTATTCGCCATATAAGGATAGCTGCATGCCATTCATCAACTAATGGTTTGGCAGAAAGGGCAGTCCAAACTTTGAAGGCAAGCTTAAACAAACAGCCTGCAGCTTCACTAAATACCAAACAGTTCCAGTTCCTATTTGATTATAGGATTATCTCTCATGCTCCAGCAGAGTTGCTAATGGGGAGAAGACACAGCCGTGTTGGGCATATTTACGATCTGCATTAACCAAAGTCCTGGACATATATACTATTGGGTGTTCATCTCCATTGGGCCACCTATAGGCTAATACTACCCCGATGCCATATGGGGAGGCATCACATATCAATACCAGATCTCACTTGGGAACATAGTGTGCCAACACTGTAGAAGATGATAGCTGTTTCTTCACATCCTTAAAAGCTATGGCTTGGCTATGTGACCATTTCCAAGGCTGACCCTCTAAGAGTTGATGCAAGGATGGATGGCAGTTTGTGTATGAACTTTCCATAATAGTTCACCAGTGCATGGAAAGACCTAAGCTCCGGTACAGATGTGGCAATCAGAGCACCTTTGATTGACCTCACTTTATCTCCCAACCGGTGTAATGCGGTCTTATCAACTACGTAGTCCAAGTAGGTTACTTGGGGTGCCTGAAACACACATTTTGCCTGCTGAGGTGTACACCCACCTGGGAGAAATGTCTAAGGACTATGTGCAATTTCTCAATAAGTGCTCCTTATGGTCTTCCCTGATAGTAGCACGTCATCCAGAAAAATGGTAACCTGGGGTAGACCTTGTAAAATGTTCTCCACTGAAAAATTGCACAGGCTGACAATACCCCATATATTGGTACAAACCGTCAGGGTATTAATTGTAGCATACTTCTGGGAATCCTCATCTAACCACAATTGCAAATACACATGGCTCATGTCCAGCTTCGTGAAGGACAGCACTCCCACCCCCCACAGCTTTGCATATGAATCCGCTATACGAGGGATTGGGAAGTTATCCAGCTGTGAAATCTGATCTTCTAAATCTGTCCTGGGGTGAGGATGAAATGGCATCAGGAGTGCAAATGCCAGACACAAGGCTCCGCGAAGTTAGAAAGACAGTTTACTTCAGTGTACAGAGTTTGCTGTAGGAACCACAGGAATGGCCCTGCATGGGTAAGAGGCATAGTTGACATGAGGTCAGGTCCAGTGACATATAAAGTTCGGATAAGTGCGATGGTCCTGACCCACCATGTTGACCATATGAAAGCTGCAAACTCACAGATATAATAGTGCCCAG